GCAATTAAGGACCGAAAACAGTAATGAGTGTCTACGATGACGGGGTCTACATGAAGTCCGGTGCTCCATTAACGAGTTATGAAAACGCCGCGCCCATCGCCGCGCGTGGCGGTGCGGCAAATTACGATCCTCTTTACCGTCTCCCTTGGTACTCTGACAATTCCACAAAATGATAGTTCCACCAAACAAATCGATCATCCAACAACAAGTGTACAACAAAACGAATGAATTGTTAATTCAGTAATCTATTGGAGCTCCATTTCTCCGAATAAGTTGGAAAATGCGGTTGTCCATGCTCGAATAGAGGTTTTCAATAAGCTTTCGGTCGACATGGTGCCATGCATCAATGATTGACTCCTTAAGCTCACGGACTTCAAGGAATCGCGCATTGTTCGCATAGATCTTGCGCGCCATGAAGCCCCACACATTCTCGACTGGGTAAGATCAGTGGTTTCGAATGGTTCATACGCACAAGAACCTTCAAATACCTTGGATCAGACATTCTGAGGCAGTCTAAGCTCAGAGGTGAACTCCCGTGTGAGTGCAGCATAGGGCGGAAATGGCGCTCGATGACTGGAGTTCTGTGTGACAAGACCATACCAGAGCACCTCAAATCGAAGGTCTATGGAACTGTGGTGAGACCAGTAGCTATGATTTTGACCTTCATCACGCTAAGGCTAGCTCCGACTTCTTTGGTCGAAGGCCAGCACGGGTTGAGTGCTGGCCTGCGACCAAAAAGTCGGAGCTAGCCTTAGCGTGATGAAGATGGAAATCTACGATGGACGGCCGGTGTCACGCGTATGGATCGGATTTGCAACGATGACATACGCAAGAGATTCGGCGTAGCTTCCATAGTTGATAAAATGCGAGAATCTCGTCTCCGATGGTATGGCCACGTACTTCGCGCGAAGGCGGACACCGTATGTGACTGGTCTCCAACTTGGGGTGCTCGGAAACGCGACGCCCCAAGCAATTCTGGCTTGACATGCTGCACGCGGATTCAAGGATAGTTGCTCAGGCGTTCAACCCGAAGAAATGGCGTATTAAAAAGAACAGGGGACCCCGCCACAGGGTAGCCCAAACGCTGAAGAATAAGAAGAACCTCTTTCAGAGGCAGCATTCCGCTAAGCAGCGATTCTTGGTGAAAGTCGTACCATGCGAGGCGGAAGGGAACATTCTCAACCGTTTTTTTCTGCTGTTGTTTCCAGAGGCACAGTGCACATTATATAATGAGCACCACATCCGTCATCTTGCTATTGTACACTGTGCTTTCAAAAACTGCGAGCTGCAAAGCGAAACCCCTTTTTCAAGTGGACGGGTCACGGCCCGGGTCACCGCACTTGTGCGAGAAATTCCTGATCGCGATGATGGTTTGACACTTGCTTAGTAGACGTGGTGCAAGGAGAGCATATGAAGAGTTTCATTGTCGGTTATGTTAACCACTCACATTCACGACGCGCTACTGTCTATTCTTCTATCACATAAATCATTAAGTCTGTCTGTCGATTTGTATGTATGTATATATGCATGTATGTATGTAT